GTCTCGTATTAGAACTATCAGCTTTAATTCCTTTTATTAATAAGTATGAAAATAATTCCTAGGTTATTGCCGCTGGGTTCCAAATCTTTTTAATGACAGATGGTTCATAAGTAGGGAATGAAAAATCATGCCCAGCAGTGTTAAATTTGGCACCATTATGCTTCCCAGCGATTTGTCATGTCATTGTCTGGCATTCACAGGATGATCATAGGTTTTGAAAAACCAAACAGTAATAACACAGAGGATTACATCTGAATTCATTAGCCCAGGATCTTAAAATTGTCTCGCTTGTCCTTTAATGTACACAACAGGAAGGATTCATTATGCCTCTTTCCCATGCCTCCCTCCCAAAAATTAGTATTTCAGGAGAAAATATGAACTGATACCAATTTGGGGGAGAACAGACCCAAGGAATTGTTCAAACAGGCTTTAAGGTTACATCCTTTTAAATTATTGGTTTTAGTAATTTCTAACTGTTGTAATTAAAGTTTTCTAAGGAATTAACACTCGGTTTTGCTGACATTAATTTCACTTTAAAACCAGCAAACAGTAACAACTTTATTTTTTACATTAATATGCAAAGTCTTTGCCATTTTTAAACTATTGTGAAACTATCAGAACCAATAAACTGAATTGACTTAAACGTGATTACACATTCAGCGAGTTTTGGGTAAGTCTTTTGTGGTATACACAGGGAACACGATTGGAGTAATGTAGCTTCTGCTATACTTTACACAATCGGGGTGTCTCAGTAGAGGTTGACTTCCCCTCTTCTGGTAATTTTAGTTGCCTAACTTCTTCATGTAAACTTGTGTAATACTCTCACTTTTTGGCTTTTTCAGGCCTGCTTTTTTCTCCCACAACCTTGGTAATATTTCACGGAAGAAAAAACCCAACTCCTTCCTTCACCGGTGATTGTAGGTGATGTAGTTCATGGAACCGAGTTGAAAATACAGATTCCCCAAAGTTAGTAAACCAAAGACTGGCACAAAAAATGAGAAAATCCTGTAATAAGAAAGCAGAAAAACCCCAACATCCTAAGCTTTAGGCTAGCTGGTCAAGGCAACATGAGATGCAGAGGGACACCCATATAAACTGAATGACATGATGAGAACATAGTTCAGAAATTTCAGTTGAGTTCGGCTCTTGCCATCATCAGGTAAAACCTGATGGTTCTTCAGCCTCGCAAGAGACTGCCTGGGTGTGTGGATAGTGGAGAAGAGGGTAGAAGGAGACGATATAAATGCAGGCCCACTCTAAATAATTTCACAGGCGATCCTTGTGGAGTAGGTGGAAGAAAGCCATTTACAGGTTTAAAAAAATCAGAATTAAATGGTACTTAAATCATCAAAACATCAAGTCACCAGCTAATCCTAGAGGTGCACACCTTTTCATCTGCAGTTTCTGCCAGTTCTGTCAGGCATGGGGGCACCTCAGCCTTGTCTCTGTTGAGAACTGTCACCTTGTAAACTCCATCAGAATCCATAACAAAGTTATTTCTCACTTTTTTCTCTCAATTTGGACATTTCCGATGTGTCTCGCTGAATCTTCCGTGGGAGGCATGCTGCTGCTTTCTTTTTACTCTTGCTCCCTTGCCAAGGGTGAAGCTGTGGGAACTCTTACCCACATCTTTCATTTCTGAGAGTGTTCTTATTACTAGGCTGGTCTTCCTCATCTGAGGAATTTAAAACAGACGTGGTAAATGAAACTTTCAAGCACTGAAATTTAACATACACACAGACATTCCCTCAAATAGCCTGCAGCCTTGTGCATTCTTCTGTGATGTGGAAACAGTGGTACCAGTTCAAAATGGGAATCATCAGACGCCATTTGTAAAAGGAAGGTTTTTTCGGTTTTGCCTACTGTAAATATTTGTACACAGTAAATGCTTAAATCCTTAGAAGCAAGCAAGCACTACCACACATACAGAAACTATGGCTTAATATATGCAGTGGTAGGCATCCATACACCACCCCCTCTCTATCTTAATTTAGTTCACAAAATTTCAAACATGTAAATTTAGAAGTCTAATCTGTCTGTTCATTTATAGTGCTATATTAAGGACATTATTCGAGGCTCTTTTCTAAATAATACTGTCAGTAACAAAGCTGATAAAGAAATCGTTAGGACTGACCTAGCTAGCCCCTTTGTCTTTTCACTGGAAAATAGTAATAATAATAGATAATTTTGAATGTGCCAGCAGGAACAGAGCAGTCATAATGTAAATTGTAGCGCTCTACAGTGTTGCTGTATTATAGGGTAATAAAAGCAGAAGGTCTTACATTACAATTGGTGTCGACAGGCTTAGGAAATGGCACTCGGGCATTATTTTCATTCCTCTCCCTTTGCAGATTTAAATAGCGTGGTCATAGGATAAAAGTTTGTTCTAATAACATTGTCCTAATAATTTTTTCTCGACCCATCTTTGTATCTTCCAGCTGACATCAAAAATTTTAAAGACAGCCTCTTGTTCTGCTGACGTAGCACTGAGTGACCCTGACATTTCTGCCTTGCAAAAGTGCATTTAAAATCCATCTCACGCCTGAGAATTTCCAGCGAACCGAACAGAGATGTTTGGTTCCCTCTTTTGTTAAGATGTAAATGATTTGCAAAGAAAAAGGCAGAACTGATGCAGGCAATGAACTGGGAGCTTTCTTCTGCTGCATTTATCAATTGTCTTGACTCCAGGTAATCTAGGAGAAAGCAGATGTCAGTGCTGGGGAGCATTAGGCAGAACTACAATGGAACCATTAATAGGGAGGAGTGCCTGAGTGCTGGGGCTTATCCAAAGTGGCCACTGTCACATGTCCACTTTAACTTTCCAGAACAGGTTTATATTTAGTAATGAGAATTGTAGGAAGATAAAATGGATGTAAAGGCGAAGTGCATTATGATTACATCAGCTTTCGAGATGAAGTTGTGACTCAGTATGTGAATTGGAAAGGTCAGCTTCTACTCTTATTTGTATCTGTGCAGCTCTTCTGAAGCTGATGAACTATGTGGGTGTAACACTAGAATATCACCCAGGAGTTTAATAATCTTACATGACTACATGAATCTGACAATGGTATTTACACTGACAGTTTGTAAGCCTTGCATGATATGCATGCTTATACTTTAAAAATACCTTCCCACACCATTTCACATTAACGATTAGCTCAGACATTATTTATTTCCCCAAGAAAATATCTTAGTCACATCTCAGAAAAGTGCAATAACAATGAAATGTTCCATACAAGTACTTGTTCACAGTAACAAAGCATTGCTAAAAATGATAATGAGAACAAAAACCTGGAAACTGAAAGACTAACACAGCATATTTGAATAGTTTCTACTTTAACTTTCCATGAGAATTACATTTATTTGTAATTTGGAGCTCTAACAGCTTCATGCCAAATTCAGATTTAATCACTATTGTTTAAATTGCTCTACTAGCAACATCTTCAGGTGTGCAACATCACAGAAGAAAGTACTTAACATTTATGACTTGTTATTGCAAAATAAAGAAATTAGGTAATATGCTTGAGGTATATACATTAAAAGAAAAAAAAAAGTATTCTGTTAAAGAACAATGATATCGATCTTCTGTACCAAATACTGTCTTCACCTGACCGGGATATGCAGTCTTTGTCTGCATATCCTATAGCTGCAAGTTGTGTGATTCAGAGTTGTATCAAGGACATTTGATGTCAAACAAAGATCAGTGAGTAATTTCCGAAGGGCTGCACATTCTGCTTAAACGGAGATGTGATACTTGGAAAGGTGGCTTTGTGGTTGGTTTTTGGTTTGTGGGCTTTTGTTGGTTTTGTTTTTAATATCAGGATCCAAGTGAAGATACAATATTAACAAAATAGAATGGTCAAAGTTTATCTCGGTTCATGACATTGTGAATCTGCCTTACCCTATGATGAAGCTCACACACAGTTTTATTAGTTAAGCATTGGCCATTTCTGTTGATTCTTAAGTGATTGGCTTAAGACTTCTGGAGAAAGCGTAAGCTAAAAAAAGCCTCAGTTAAGACTATGGTGGAAAAGAAAAAAAAAACCTGCTAACAGTTCCATCTCATTTTGTGTAGATGATAATGAGCATTTAAGGTGTTTTTCTTATATAGATAGTTCTGCTGGTTTTAAACAGATTGAATGTTTTTAACAAGGATTAAGTAGCAGCTAGCAGGACTGGGACTCTTTCAGTCCTAGAACTTTTAACATAGATTTTCATGCACGTTTTTGAATAGATGTGCCTCAGGATGTCCCTGAATCCCATCTTCTGGTAAGCATGCTCGTGACTCAGTCCTCATGCCGTGTTATAAAATAACCACAGGACTTTCTAGTGACTGCAATTGGTCTCAGTAGTACTAGTTAATGATTTCAGACATAAAAATATGTTCATTGTATGCTTGATTTTAATGTTTTTTTTCATAAAATCTATTTGTCAGGCAGTGATCCACTGAGACTATTTAGATTCCTTGTATTGTAAGATCGATTTGCCGTCTCACTTTTTTTCATTCTTCACCTTTCTCACAGTTTTTCTTTCCTTTTCCTCCTATTTGGTCCTTTCACATCTGTTCTTCTCACCCGCACTACTCCCTCCCTGTTGATGTTTTTAAACCACTCTATAGTCTCTTTCCTTCCTTCCTTCGGCCCCTTTCAGCACTCTCCTCCTTTTTTCCTTCCAACCGCCCTGTTCTCTCCTTTCTCCCCTCTGCCGCTCCCGGGCTGGCGGTGCCCAGACGCCCTCCTGGCACCGGGCTCCGGCCTCCTCCCCACCGGCCATCTTCCCGCCGCCCCCGGCCAGCGGCCGGACA